CGGGGTTAGTGCCACTGGTCTATAGTCATTTAGGCTAGAGATATGAGGTTTCTTGGGCAAGGGTATTATGGTGGAGGTCTTGAGGCAGGGTGGGACGTTTGACTGTTCAAGGGATTGGTTAAAAATCCTGGTGAAAATATAGGCAAGCTGGTCTGCGCAGTCTCTCAGCACACGTCCTGGTTCAGAGTCTCAGTTACAGTTAGCTACATAAAAACTCTGTATTGTAGTTCAGTAACATGTGACCATCCTTAGGCCATTGCTTGGATTCATCTGTTCTCTCATTGACTTATAAATAACATTATATGAAAAATGAACAATAAGCAACATTCTTGAGGGCATATGAGGAAGAGAGTAGTGCTACTAATTATACAGCACGTCCATGAACAAAGAACTACTGATTATTGTATCAACACAAACTGAAATTACAAGCAGAAACCATCAATTTCAAGTTAAATATGCACATGTAACAAATAGATAATAAATGATAATACACCACCATTCACTTTTATGAACCACAAAGGTCGTTTAAAAAAAAAAAATAATAATAAGACCCTGCAGCGCACATTGACGCCATATGTCTTGTGAGCCAAATCTCTGAAGCGTGAATGTGATAATAAGGAGCTGCAGTGGACAAATACAACATTCAAATTCAGTTCATCGTAGCCTAGGTACTACAAAATACCTTCCACATCAGCACATAGAAGAGACAACGTCAGGAGAAGGACACGTAGCAGCGCAGAGTCACATATGGACGGTATAGGAAGCAGCTCCATCCATCCGCTAATAATCGCTGTCCACTAATCCTAATATTTACGCATTTCAACTTCCGGGAGAAAAAAGTCCACAGCACAAAAATGCTAGAACACAACAGAACCGATGATTTTCTTGGGAGTCTAGCAAAGAAAGTAGGCGGGCTATAAAATGGCTTACAGCGACACACAGAGAGAGGAGCAGGGGGGGGCGGGGGTACGGCGGAAATAAAACGTTTCACGCAAGAGATGAATTAAGGATGCAGCTTTCTGATCAGCCTTTTAAACAGCGTAACCGACGAAAAGACGCGTGGCTTTACCTTAAATGTACATCAAAACAACGGCGATCACGAGGAGGACCAAAATCCTTGCTGTCTGAGAAAAGACTGGGGTTTTTTGGTTTGTTTTCAGGGGAGCATCCAGGATTTTCCTTAATTGGTTACCACAGGATCCGAAAACCAGACAGAGGGGCTCACATGACATCTGAATAAAACACTGGGCGCAATTTTCAGGTTAGTATACACCACTGTGTCCTGCTGTCAAGAAAACATGGTGCTGCACAAGGGTTTATCCCTCTGGGGTCCAGGGTATAATTGGCCGTTTTTGACTACTTTTGATTTTACCTCTATATTTCACCTTTAAAAACTGTTTATCTTGCCTTGTTTGGTATTATTTTTTTCATCACAACCTCAAATATCTGAAATTTGAGTTATTTTTCATTTTGGTATACTATATTAGCACAATTGATCTAAATTCAGACAAAAAATTCAAAATCCAAATAGAAAAAAGTTATTTTTTTTACTGTAAAACCCATAAACACGTTTAACGAATCATTTTCATAAATTGAAATGCAAATAGAAATTGTACGTTTCTAAAAAATTATGCACAAGTTTTACAAACAACAAAGTTATATGGTATTATTTACCTAAAAATGCAGCCAAGGCCTCAGGCGTTTTTTAAAACCATTTAAATCTATTTACAGAACAATCAGCTGTTCTGCATCAAATAAGAAGGCACACAA